TTGGGGGGGGGGGGTTAGGTCACATCTGGTACAAAGAGAGGTCTTCATCTTTGACAAAATGATACATTTTTTCCCTTCTTTTGACTTGCCCCACACCAAAACAGGAGTGAAGATAAAAACAATCCCCTCAATGATAAATATATGTCATAATGGATATTTAGAGTTCATTTAATCAGGCTTGATAACATTCTAATTTAACTCCCATTAAATCCCATGAAAAACATTTCAATAACTTTAGCAGAAGCTGGATTGAGTCCTGAATTTTGGGTCTGATCAAAAGATACATTTATTAGGAGTAGTATTCAGTATTATAACCGTAATAGCAGCACAAGATTTTGCTTTTATTCTCTATAAAGATGTGAGACCTCTTAAAGAGACCAAGTCAGAATATAAAGTCTTATACATTAAAAAGCCTATCAAAATTCTCATCTCTTGAAAATGACTGTTTCCAGAGCATGCAATTCAGAGTATTCTAACTGTGGTCTACATTCCCATCACTACTGCATTATCATCATCATTATTATCATTTATTGGGTAGAGTGTAGAGGCTGACCAAAAGGGGGCCCCAGTTGACCTGACACTTCACAAATACAGAGTAGTAAAATATTCCCACCCTGAAAACCTCCATTTCTGAATAAAGAGACAAGCAAAAGCAAAGGAATGCAGCAGACAAGCAGTCATCCATGGTGACATATGTTTAGTGCCATGTTTTTGCTGTTTTTTTAACATGGTGGAGTTTTTGTTAGAACGTGATTAAATCAATAGAATGACAAGAGAAGGGAAAGGAGCTATAGAAAAGAGGGAAAGCAAGAGGGATAGGGAAGGAGAGAAGAGGGAGGAGAGAAAGGCAGAGTGAAGGACAGATGAAATAAACCTAAGGTGAAGAGACTGAGCAGTGGTGGGTAGGAGATTGGAGATCGGCTAAAAGGGGGGCTTAAAACAAATGGATAGCCATTGTAGAACAAAGAATGTCCAGAGTGGAACAAACCAGAGAAAACAGCCTGATAAATCATTTGTTTCCTACTACAGTACTTGCTAAGGCTGCTTCTGTGCTTGTTCCATGTAGCTTCCATATCACTGACCCCCTCAGCTAGATACAGACAGTCAAAAAGCCCGAGGCTGAATTGATTCAGTCTTTGCAGGTTAGTCTAAGCTAGGGTTACCATATTTCCAGGTTCAAAAAAGAGGACACCTGTCACCAGGGGAGGGGGGGAGGGAATAGAATGAGGGGGAGAGTGACATGCCAGTGCGCTGCCCCTGCCCCTGTCCATTCTGTTGCCCCTCACTGACAAGCAGCACCCCCAGCCCTGCTGCTTCCCCTCACTCCAGACTCATTGATCCCAGCCCTGCCAGTGCCCCTCACTCCCAAACAGCAATACCCTGCCCCCACCCCTTGCTGGTTCCCCTCACTCCTGACCTACATCCCCCTGGTGCTGCCAGTGCCCTGCACACCCAACCCACAGTCATTCGTCCCCCATGCCCCTCATTCCTGACCCACAGCCCCGGTGCCCCTCACTCCCAACCTGC